TATATATATATATATATATATATTCAGTTGATCTATGATTCAGTGGGGGAATATTTTGCTCTCCTCACTCCAACATTGAAGAGGTTGAGATATTTTACATCCTCAAGGAATTTTACAGTCAAATGTTAATGATCCTTAGTTGGAAATAAAAAATAAAGGCTATTTTTTCAGTCACTCATTATGCTGTATTTCCCAAAGTAGGCAAGGGGTGCAGGAACAATCCAGGGGGCCTGCAAAAGCAGATCCCTTCACTTTATCCTATATTATGGGCTATAGAACAAAAGTCTTTCATTGCCAGGGCACTCAGTAATTTTTTTCCTGAAAAAGGTAGTTGTGGTACCCACAGTCTTAATCTTTATTTTTTTAATCAGCTGTTATAACTAGTGTAGTCCAGCAGCAATGAGCTCTGTTTAGCATCACTCCACCCTCCTTTGACACCTCATTACCTGAGAGTGTTCAGAGAGATGACTTAGTGCCATCCATCCTCTTTCTCCATTTTCAAGGAGCACCAGAGATAAATCTAGAAAGGACTGAACCCATGCACAGGACCAGATAAGTTACCCTAGTTACTCAGTTTTCAAGGGCTGCTTGGTTAAAGGTTCTCTGAATTCTTAAAGAAGTTAGTTCATCCTTTTATTTGACAAAAACATTTCAAAGAAGGCAGTTAACTGATTTTTCTTCTCTTTGCTTCCACAGCTCTGGGTGAATCAAGAGGATGGGGTGGAAGAAGGGCCCAGTGATGTACAGAATGGGCACCTGGACCCCAACTCAGACTGCCTCTGTCTGGGCCGGTCACTACAGAACCGGGACCAGATGCGGGCCAATGTCATCAATGAGATTATGAGCACTGAACGCCACTACATCAAGCACCTCAAAGACATTTGCGAGGTAGGTGTAGTCATTACAGTGCATGTGGGACACAAAGCTCAGGGTGGAGTGTGAAGAATTAATAGCTTTTTGGGGCCAAGCCTGTAAAAATTCCAAGATGTAGGAATGAATAATTGTATTGGCCTCCCAGATTCTGTTGGGATCAAACAACTTCCTCATGTTTTCTCAATCTCTGTTGAATTCTCTTCTTTTCTTTCTCCTTCTACATTTCTATGTCTCTCTCATATAGCTCAACTCAAGCCCTTCTTCCCCTTATCCTCTTGATTTCTGATTTAGTTATTCACATCCCACATAACAGTATGACATTCTTCATTAAAACAAATCACATCTCCCTCTAAACCAGTGATTCAGAAACTTTGGCATTTGCACCAGAGTACCTGGGGGAGCTTGGTAAGCACACAAATCCCAGATTCTCTGCATCTCTCTCCAACAAGCTATGAATCACATCTGTATGGCATATTATAGAATCATCTCTACATTTATCCCTGGTGTTGTTGCTGCTAGCACTCCTATCTCAGTTGGAGAAATACTGGTTTAGAATTTAAGCAGAAAGATCTTGAGAGAAAAATCCAAAAGAGGCAAAGGTTGTGGGCAAACTTCACCTTATGCCCTATTCCCTTTAAATCCCCATTTGTTTCCCGATCTCCTACTTCTATCCCTTCCATTTCTTTGTTCTAAATGAGGGTGAGAACCCTTTTGCTCACATTCCCTTGAGTTCAGCAGGAACAAGGTGACATCTTCAAAGGTCATTTTCCTAAACAAAAAGAAAAATCAATGAGAAATGGAGAAAATATACAAGATATACGAAGGTAAGTAAAACTATATCACCACAAAATCACAAAAATCTATTAAACAAAAATATCAAAATATTAAGCTATTGTTTTAGAGGGCATTGACTGTATGTTAATGGTGGTGAAATTATTTGGAAAATGATATTAATAATGGTTGTCCAACACAAAGAGTATAATCAATGGCACTGAATTATACATGTAGAAGTTGTTGAATAGGAAAAAAAATTAAGCTATTGTCTCTCAACATATTCTTCATCTAGGTTTACATTTCTTAAAGTCACCACCGCTATCTTGTAAGCCCTTCTGGAGAGAATTTTGTGTTCTTTTATTTACTCCACAGCAAAACAGCAGTTTTGTCATCTTCAAGAAACTCTAATTTTGTACCTTTAAAAATGTCCTTGATCTATTTACAGGTTTTTCTTTCTGTTTAATTAATTTATTCTTCTATGGGTAATTGGTTTCCTTTTTTGTTGCCATCGCTGTGTTCTCACTCATCGCCTATCTTGCTATGGCTTGGTTTTTTGTGCATATTATTATCTCTACAGATCTATCTAGATAAGATAGACTGGATGAGTAGTCTGGAGGAGAAAACAACAGGACCAGTGGTTCTGGGGGGACATGGGAGAGGTGGGGGTAAGGAGGTGGTACTGACCAGCCCAGGAACAGGGGAGCAACAAGCGATCCAAAATCGGTGGCAAGGAGGGTGTGAGAGGCCTGGTAGGGATACAGCAAGGGCAAAGTAACTGAGAGAGGATACTGAAACCCAAATGAAGGCTGAGCATGATAGTGGGACAAGAGGAAAGTAAAAGGAAATAGAGGAAAGAACTAGGTGACAAAGGGTATTTATA